GACACCCAGCCTCACAGCAGAGTCATCTACTATGTAGGGTGTTTGACACAAAGGTCTCCTTTTAATCTTTGGGATTAGGGATCATAGTCTCCTGACTGTGTAGCCTGTGATCAGTTTGGGGCCATCTGTAACCCAATGACTCAGTAATCAGAAAACCTTGCCTTTGTGGGTTCTTAGTTTTGGATTTTATTTTTGCTTAGCGTTTTGGACTCATATTTGCCTAATTATATTGTCTTAATAATTTCCTAAGTTCAAGGATGTGGAATTGCTAATTTCTTTTGTAACACTGACCACATTCTTAATCTTGTCTGTTTTGACATCTTCCCTAGTAACACAGTGAAGTATATCTCTGGTGCCATGTTCTCCCTGAACCCTTTCTTATAGATATTTTCCTCTTACTACAAAAGTGTTTTCTCACTCTGAAAACCCCATCAGAGGGTGTGTGTCTCCCTACTGTCTTTTGTTTGCTGATTTTGTGGATGAGGCATTGGAGTATATGTTAGCTCACCTTTATCAAAATTTTCTACAGAGAGTTTAGTAGCTTCTTTGATGCATACAGTGGCCCCCACTGTGCTGAATACCTTCATCTACACCATGAGAAATTGGGGCATTATAAGCACCCTAGGGAGACCCCATAGCAGAACAGTCTTCTCTATGGACTTGTGACATCCATTTGAATATAGTTTGGAAAAAGCAAAGCAACCTAATATCTAGACTTGTAAGTTCTGCCTATTTGGTCATGTAAGTATAATTTTGTGGCTTTCATTTGTTAAAATTTTTCATAGTGTAATCCTGGTGGGATGACCAGGCAATTTTAATATTGAGTATATATTTCACTTTGGAAAATGAAAATTACTTGATGATGTATGATGTTGTGTCATCAAAATATATACTTAATTAATATGGTAAATATTTTAAGTTGTTTGATATGTGTATGTTACCCCATGAATGAAATAAAGGCAGATGGTTATTTAAAAGCTATACACAAATTACAGAAGCAAATATTACATACCAATTTTACCTAAGTAGAGAAAAAAATCCCAAAAAACCCTTGTGGACACTTATTTTCTTTGTGTCTCCATCTTCCATTAGTGTTCGAAGTCCTTAGAGATTGGGATGGCAGGGACCTATTTGGCTAATTATGAGCTGTGGGTATTGAGCCCCCAAGGTCACAGGGTAGTAAATAATCAGCTTGTGCTCCAGGCTTTCTGTTTGATGACTCCAGTCCAGTGACCTCCATACCCATGTCCCAGGGTCCATGGTTGTCTGTTTCAGGAAACTCCTATTTGACTCTGTATTAATTTCAATACTTTGGATAGAGCCTGTACTTCACTGGGCAGCAGACATAGGAGAGTCTTTGGGTCTGGTCTCCTTGACTATGCCCCAGCAGAGAAACAGCACCACCCAGTAAGTGCAGGGAGATCTCAATGATATGGGAAGAATCACTGAAATTATTTTTTTTCATCATAAGGACAAATATGACACTTTAAGTAATCAGGTAGAGGGGTAGAAATATGAAAAATATCAGTTATAAGGAATCAAAATTTTATGTTCATGGTTTTATTGGGGAAAGCAGAATTATATTTAAAATTTGCTTTCTACATGACCTGTTTTTATTTCTCATTGATGCCTCACACATAGCATCAGAAAATATTCCCTTATTCGGTGTTTGTTAAGCATGCTACAAGTTTTATGAAGGTGATGATAAGGATGGAGAGGAGGAGGACAGTGACCGTAACATCGCAAACTAGTTTTGTGGTCTTCTTGTATTCCAGGCACTGAGCAATGTGTTCTATGTAGCTTGTTTCATTTAATGTGCTTTGTCTTGCTGTAGTTATAATTAATCATGTTATTATTGCTTATAAAAATTGAAAGCCTGTCATTTCAATGGAACCCGAAGTAGATTTTTAGGTAGAAAAATTATTCACCTGAATTGGGCTGTCTGATAGCAGACATGGAATTATAGGAGAAATAACACTGCCAAATTGTCCTTAACAACACAACCAACCACTTCACTTCTCTGTCACATCAGGCAGGGAGACCTTGCCCACCATGCCTTTCCTGTTGGGGGTTCCTGAAAGCTCATAGAACAGAGCAATGAATGGGATCAGCTACATCTACAGTAGGAAAGACAGACCACCCTCACAAATTTCTCTCCTGCCACTACTGGAGAATATCTTGTAGCTCCCCATATCCTCCTCCAGGTTTGCAATAATTTCACACAGCCTCAAATGGGGATAAGTCAGGTCATGATATCATTTCCCTCTAGGAAACATGAGAGTTAAAATATGATACTATAATATAGCAATGATTAGGACTTGGAATCTCTCCTCATATCTTTCTGTTATTGTAAAATGAAAAGTTTTACTGCATTGGACAGCACCTGTCAATTCATTTTTTAATCCTTTCTTCTCCACTTATTATTTTTGACACATGAATGCTATGTCATTTAATTCCATCTATATAAAATATTTTAAAACACCACAGATGTATTCATTGGTTAAAAAGTCACAAAGAGATGGGAGCAGGTGAATGTGTACTTCTGGCTGAGATGTATTACAGAACTTTACATCATTCCAGGCTCCAGTGCCTGTTGAATATAGTTTACACTATCAGTAAACTTCCTATTTGTGTAATCATGTAAGTCATTTATAAAGAAACAAAGAATTGCAAATACTTAAGTTCCAAAATTTGTTTATTTGCCACCTTGTGGAGATGAATGTTTTTGTCCTTATTATCTTCAGGCAGTATGAGGGCAGAGAGGAAGAGAGATTCACACACATTCTGCCTACTGTAACAGAACAATGGCAGAGGACTAAAATGTTCAGTTCCCCAGTTCTATTTCTTGTAGCAAGCTCCTCCACTGGAGAAAAATGGAAATGTTATTCCCTTCATGATCATGAATTTTTGAGTATGTGTGTTATCATGACTGGACAGACCTCAGGTATATTTTGAAGATATGTCTCAAGAACAAAAGGATGTAAATTATAATGACTTACCCACTGTTTTGAGAAATTAACCTGTGAGATTTCACATACGTTATTTGCTGGAAATCAGAAAGTATCCCCCATCAATATATTTTATACAAATTTTCATGTGACAAGCAGAGAGGCACAAAAGTTTTGAAAACATTGTCTTAAGAATAAACTTACAAGGCAAATGAAGTTTTTAATCTCTCAGGTCCTGGTGGCAATAGTTAAAGGAGAGTTAAAATCACTTGAGTATGTAATCTACTCTGTATAAGGCACAATACTTGTTTTTTAAAAAAATACTGAGATGAGTTGTAGGTACTCTGTATGTAAGTTTTTAAGAAAACTGTTTGTAAATTCATAAATCAGTGCTGATCCTGAAATATTGAAAGGAAAATCTAGCCAAGAAATTGATGAGAATTGATTCCTATGAGACCAAGAGAGCAAGGGAATGAAATAATGGAGATACACCAAGAATTGACATTTCTTAGGTGATTGTGCGTATCTCAAAATATATGGGTGTTCATGTAAAAACTATTATATATTTATGTCTGTATCTGTATAGACTATATTAAATTGAAGATTTTCTAAATGCTAGCAAATATGCTAAGACAGTGGTTCTCAACTCTATTGGAAGAAAATAACACAAAAATCTGAAATGTAGATTAAATTTCATGGTCTGAGGCTATAGTATCTGAATATTGAAAATGTCCCTGGATAAATATGTAACCAAATTAGAACCAACAGTGATGCAAACTAAATTATTTTGAAAACACATTTTTAAAAGTACCATGTAAGGTAGATAATTATTCTTGTTATACAAATGAGAGAAGATTATATTATTTACACAATTCTTACTCTATTTATGTACTTTTTTGCTGCAGATGAGTTTCCAAGTATGCTTATATTATTCCATGTGCTTTTCTCTTTTGTATATTCTCCCAGCTAAATTGCAGTTTAGCTTGACAAAAATATGTGTCCTAGTTTCCTTTGTGTAGCTGAAATAAGAGAAATGCAAGGCTTATATTGGGGAAAAAAACTGATGTGAAAATCTGTCAGTCAGAATTAGGCAGCATAGGACTCAGCCAGGCTTTTTAAAATTCTAACATCTTCCACTGCAAAAAAAAGGTTTATGATCAGGAAAAACAATAAAGCATATTGACAACATACGTAGAATACTGAATCAGTAAAAGGAACAAAGAGATGTCAAACTAGCAAATATATTAGTGGTGTTTTATTATAAAAAATCCTGTATAAATTTAAATTTGTCAAACATGCTTTTTATCATTTTTTGAGACTCATTAACAAGTATAGTATGGGCTAATGCTATAATTGTCATAATGTACTAAAATTTTGTGCTTCTATTTTAGCCTCATTCATACACATAAGAGTAAACACATAAGAGTAAGACAAGGATAAGAGTTACATATTAAATTACTGATACAGTTAAAAAGGCTGAGTTAGCTATTATCTCATTGAAAGATGGAAATCAGAAAACCTCCCAAAATTTCTGTGATGTAACTGGCTCGACACAATGTGTTCTGATTATGATCAATTTCACTTTAATTTATTATCAGATAATGCAGTCCTAGTTCTTGTAGTATTGTAGAGACCTGAAGTTATGGGATATTTTACCATTATCTGAAATTAAAGCAACTTATAGTTGAATATTTTTCATTTTCTTAAATAGAATCATACTTTTAAAAGAGGGATGGCTTAACTTTCTTTCAATGTTTTTTGAAATAAAACTGTGTATACTTTACTGGGTTCATAGCGTTCTAACCCATAAAATTCTTGATCTACTAACAGTGTGCAGCTGAATATTTATAAAGCAGGACTGTATGGATGGCAGTGGAAAAGAAATAACACAATAGTGAAAGACATTGTGAAAGTCAAGTTTGTCATAGTAGAATGATATTGCTGAAGGTCTTGGCCTTCATATAGAGATAATTTTATTGGGAATATTCAAATGTATAACATACGCAGAGTTTTGTGTGCTATTTATTAATTTCATTTTCCTAATGAATTTTCTTTTTGAAAAGGTGTTCAAGCACTATCAAAACATATAATCTAACACAGGTCTCAGAATTCCATCTCCTGGGCTTCTCAGAAGATCCAGACTTGCAGCCCATCCTCTTTGGGCTGTTCCTGTCCATGTACCTGGTCACAGTGGTTGGAAACCTGCTCATCATCCTGGCCATCAGCACTGAGTCCCATCTCCACACTCCCATGTACTTCTTCCTCTCCAACCTGTCCTTTGTTGACATCTGTTTCATCTCTACTACGGTCCCAAAGATGATTGTGGACATCCTAAGTCATAACAGAGCCATTTCCTATGTGGGTTGCCTCACACAGATGTCTGTGTTTCTCATTTTTGCAAGTATGGATGACATGCTTCTGACTGTAATGGCCTATGACCGCTTTGTGGCCATCTGCCACCCCCTGCATTACACAATCATTATGAACCCACACCGGTGTGTCTTACTATTGTTGATGTCTGTCTTTGTTAGCCTTGTGGAATCTCAGCTGCACAATGTAGTTGTTTTACAATTTGGCTGCTTCAAAGATGTAAAAATTGCTAATTTCTTCTGTGACCCTTCTCAACTCCTTAGCCTTTCATGTTCTGGTCCTTTAATCAAAACCATGGTCACATATATTGTTAGTATTATTTTTGGCTTTTTCCCCATCTCAGGGCTCTTTTTCTCTTATTATAAGATTGTTTTCTCCATTCTCAAAATCCCATCATCTGGAGGGAGGTACAAAGCCTTTTCTACCTGTAGCTCTCATCTTTCAGCTCTTTGCTTATTTTATGGGACTGGTATTGGGGTGTATCTTGGTTCAGATGTGTCTTATTCTCCCATCCAGGGCATGGTGGCCTCATTGATGTATACCATAGTCACCCCTATGCTGAATCCCTTCATCTATAGCCTGAGGAATAGGGATATTAGTAGCACCTTGAAGAGGCTCTACAGTTGGAGAGTGTAATCCCAAGATGTCTGTCAACCTTTTGAAATGTAGGTTTGAAAATATTGTGAAATTAAACACCCAAAACTCACTTTGAAATACTGGTAATTTGATTTCAGAAGTTTAATATTTTATCATATTTCATATTGCAATCAAAGGTATTTGAGGGAGGTAGAATTTACATGGATGCTATGTTTTATTTTGTAAGTTGAAAAATTTTTGAAGATGGATAAAGAGTGATTTTTGCACAAAAAATGATATCAGTACATGCATGAAAATTGTAAATGTGATACATTGAGTTATGTGTATCTTACACAGTGAAGAATGGAAATAAAACACACTATTTTTTATTTTAAAGAAAGAAATTAACAAAATGAATAGTACATTTGCAACTCCTCTTGAGTAGCAGATGATCCAAAATCTTTTGAAAATATTCGTTTTATCTCTTTTCTTCAATTTCCATTATATTTCAGAAGTCACTAGAGATTAGGGTAACATGTACCAATTTTGGCAGTTAAGAGTTGTGTATATTCAGTTTCCAAGATCAAAATACATAGCCGGTTCCTGCTGCATTTCTTTATCATTGTTCCAATCAGTTCTGTAGCTGTGTCTCCTTCATCATGGTTGTCTGAAATAGGATGTCCCTACCTGATATTGTTGATGTCAGTGCTCTGGGTTTATGTGGAGACTTCATTGTCCCTCTAGCATGTGGGGGTAAAGGGTTTATAGATTTTGGACATGACGCAGTAGAGACACCACTTAACTCAATACAGTAAATCCCTGACTTAGGAACATTCCAGTCACAAACTTCTGCAGATGTACTGTATAAGATTCAATTTGTCATATATGAATGAATCTGACTTGTGAACATTCTCTTGGAAAGGAACTCATTTGTATGTAAATAGGGAACTTATTTAACTATTAAAGGGAAAGATGGATAAAAGAGGGACTATTGGACCCATTGTTTTGCATCATGAACACACATGAAAGTTTGGATAGTGAGATGTAATAATAACATTGTGCACACTCCTCACCGCAGTAGTTTTTAGTCTTATGTACTTGTGTGTACATAAGTGTGTGATGGGATTCCCAAATCCTCAAAGTTTTCTTTTACTTCCCCACTGGTGTTTCTTCCCAAATATCTAGTCCAGGATAGTAGATTTTGGTTATCTGTAAATTATCTCCTCAGCTCCTCAAAAGGGAGGACATTTCTTCCTAGGGTGCTGATGAGGAAGAGCATTAGGATGAAAGTAACCAAAGCATTGTGAACCAATTTTGAGGGATTCCTAAATGGCAACATCTGAGTTATCAGTTACATGTAATTTTTAAAATTTTAACAGCACTATGTTCCTCAAGCGTAAGAGAGACATACCAATATTTTAAAGAATGAAAAGGATACACTATTTTTGTGTAATTTATTACAGTGTGTAGGGTAGAAGAGGGTGAAGAGACATTTACATGTGGCTATCTGATGTCACACATAGGGCATCTTTATTTTTCTTTATTTTATTGATACACTAGTCTTTTTATACAAAAGAGAACCCATGTGAAAAAGTTTAATGTTCCTCAGACATGAGCATAATTTTAAGCTCTGATCTTTGCTAAAAACTTTTTGATGCTTGAGAAACAAAGTAAAGTATTGGTAGATCACATATAAAGAATCACAATTTATTTCTGAATCCCATTTCCAGCCCTTATGATTTCTGTAACATATGGCAAGGTTTTTTTCAATCTCTTACACTAAACCTTGACATCTGAGTTGATTTTTTGTTTTTACAACTACATTGTAAGGCTAAAAGGAAATGTAAGTATTCTTAGAACCAATGATAAAAGATTCAGTTTCATGCTTTTAAAGTAAAATTTTCTAGGATCTAAAATTGTCATTTTATTTTTTCTATAAAATGCCAATTGGTTTTGACCTTTGTATAAATATATGCATGTATTTGGAGAAGATCAATTGATTTTCATTTCAGCTTTCCTGGATCCTGTCTCTATCCTGACACACAGGAGGAATTAAAAATAAAAATCCTCTTTAAACACTGATTGGTTTCTTACTTGGATCACAATAAGTGGGCATAATGGCCGTGGGTTTTACAGGCTGGTGCTTTACTCTGTGGAGCTTATGTCCCACCTGGGAATGTCACATAGAATTAGAGCCAAAGTAAAATAGCTCTTGTTTTTGTCTATTTTAGGAATGCAAAGGCCTTGTATCTTCATTTAGAAGCAGCTAAGACATTTAATTATTCCAAGAACATAGCAAATATTTGCATGGGCATAAAAATAGTAAAATATACAAAAAGGGAAGTAGGTGGCATGGTGAACAGGTCTGTGCATATTTTAGAACTTAACATCCTTTTATGCTTCTGCACCTCTTTTCAAATTTAACTGCCAATAAACATGCTATTTGTAAAAAGAAAGAGGTCTTTATCTGAAGATGAAAACATGAAGTGACTACACATTTAAGTTCCAAACTTCCTTTAGGTCCACACATGTAGTGGAGTTGGGCGATACTCTTCATATTTCCATGAGGCTGTAAGAACAGGGGAAGTGTACAGATTAACCCACAGTGTGCGTTTAGTAATAGATCAGTGGTACAGGTCTAAAATGTTAACTTCCTCACTCTCACTACAATTTCCAGTATTCTCTACTGAGCCTAAATGAAAATATTTCTTATATAATATGCAATTACTTGGTAAACAATCATTTAAGGATAATTAACAAACAGACTACAGGAATATTTTTGAAAGTTTATCTTCTTTTTTTTTTGTACTATAGATCAAACTCAGGACCTTGCAAGGCAGGGAGTGGCACCACTGAGCCAAATCTCTGGCCCTTGAAAGCTTATTTTAAGAGTGACAAGATGTATTTAATAGCACTGATTTTTTGGGGGGGGGGAGGAAATAAGTGATTCATTGTCAAATTGAATATACATCAATTATTGAGCTCAAAGACACATCCTTCATGTTTATATTATCTGTTAGTTTTTACTGGCATGATATAATGAATTTTGAAAGTATATTTTTATAACAATAAACAGAAAAATTATATCACACATTTTTCTTTGGTAAGGCTGTGCAGCTGTGAAAGAATTTCATGTGTCAGGAAAAGGTGACAGAAACCTGTCAATGAGAGATAAAAAGGTTGACATTTAAGTTTAGAGTTTGGAATTTCATGGTGCTAGTACTTAACTAAGGAAATTTAATTCTTAAATAAGGAAATTTAGGATTAGAAATAAAACAGACCAGTTTCAACAGTTCACTACAGAACACAAAATGAAAAATAGTCATGCAAAAAAATCCCTATAAGATATATTGCTGAGACTGGATTCAGTAAAGTCAACATGTATAAAATTTAAAAAATCAGTTTCACTAACATTTTATTATTATTTAAGCCACTGATAGGTTAAGTGTGTACTTCTACCGCATTTTAGGTTAGTAGTGTCATGTCTGGCTCCTGATCAGGGAACCAAAGATATTGCATCAAAAAGACAAGTGCCAGAGAGAGCCACCCAGATACCATTAGGAAGTGTATACAGATCTCAGTGAGCAGTGGTGTGGACAAGAGCAGCATACCTTCAGGCAGCTCTATCCACAGCCCCACCCTGACCCCAGCCACATGGGCACACAGGCCCAAGCCAAGGGACTATACAGAAAAGAGTGGCACAGGAACACAATCATCACCCAGAAGTCCACACCCAACCACAGGTAAGTACACAGAGACCCTAGCCAGAGGCCTGTTCAGACACCAGGGACTGAGGTCCACAGTTCCCAGCCAAAAGCACTCCCAGACAACAGTTCTGTAGGGGGACAGGTGCTAGACAGAGGCACTCCTTGATACCATCCCAAGTGTGGACAGACTCCAGCTAGAAGCCAGACAACAGGTCAGCTCAGGGATCGAGAAGGTAAATATTCTGAACTCAGGAATTGGGCCACTGGTGAGCAGCAGAGAAAAGGTTGCTCAGTGGCTTGCTAAGAACTGAAGACCACTGGGTGAGCAAATATTCACCTTAACAAAGGTACAGCAGGCTGGAGCTGTTGAAATGAGAAGACATGTGAAAAAGTCTCAAAAACAAATTTCCAGATCACCTAAGACAACGCTGAAAGGCAACATGATGGAACAAACTGATACTCAACCACCTGGACACCCTGAATTGGCAATGAAAAAGGATCTGGAAAGAATGAAATCAGAAATAATTTCTCAGATAACAACAGAGATTGTACCCATAGTGCAAGATGTGATTAATAAATCTAGAGCAGAAACAGATTTAAAAATAATCAAGGAGCTGAGGATCATGATGGAATCCCAACATAGGAAAACAATGGAATCCATGAAACAGATGAAAATAGATTTCCTGTACATTAAAAACGCCACTGAAAATTTACACAGTAGAATGAGCCAATGTGAAGACAGAATTTCAGATATAGAATATAGGATTGCAATTACTGACCAGGAAAACAAAAATTTCTTAAAAATAGTACTAGACCATCAGAAATCAATTCAGCAGCTGCTGGATGATGCAAAGAAGAATAACATAAGACTAATCAGAGGCAATGAAGAAACAGGAGAAAGTGCAAATGATATAAAAACATGCATAGAAGTAATGGCAGAAAACTTCCCAAGGAGGGGAAAAGAACTTGACATACAGATAAGTGAGGCATATAGGACTTCAACTAGTCTTGATCAAAAAAGAAAATCTACAAATAGGCATATAATAGTTAAGATTCCAGAAACCCAACAGAAGAACAATATTCTACAAGCAAATAGAGAAAAGAAATGAATCACATACAAAAGAAAGCCCACCAGACTCACAGCAGACTTCTCAATGCAAACCCTCAAGGCAAGTAGAGCTTGGAATGGTGTATTTAAAGCCCTAAAGGAAAACAATGTCCAACCCACATTGACACACCCTGCAAAACTATCTTTTAAAACTGATGGAGAAATAAGATACTTTCATGGCAAAAAGCACATGAGGAACTTCATGAATACTAAACCAGCACTCCAAATAATTTTAAACAGTATTC